CTTAATCTGATGAATTTTTCTGATATGGTTTTGGGAGAGGACCATGGATAACATTTTGCTGAAAATCGAAAATCCTCAAAATTCACCATCCATAGGTTCCTGTCAAATATTCTGCAGTGAAAAGTGTTTAGCAGTCAAATATTTGCAATTGTGTTTCTAAATAATATTCCTGTAGAAAAAGAATGCATTTAACACAACCCGGCTATGAATTTCTGGAATGTTACAAAAACTAACATTTTTATTTTGTTTTTAAATAGATGGTAGAATTACCAGTCTCAAAACTTTTGGCTTAAATTAATGTATTAATCTATCAATGGAAGTGAAGAGCAAACCTTAAGAAAAATGCCAGATGTAAAGTTTTTATAAGTCTTTTCTTTCTTAAAAAGATAGAAATTCTTATACAACTCTTATTTCTCATAGTATGATCATGTTAAATGTAGGATAAAGTTAAAATCCATTTGAAGCAGTCTTCAAGTGCTCAAACTTTCCTTATTGATGAAAAGCAAGTGGCCATGAAATACTCATATTGGTCACGGATACAGCTCAGTTAAAACAGTGTTTGCACTAGTCTGAATTTAGGAGCAGATTTTAGTGAGACTGGATTGTCTTGTTCGTTTATATTTTGAACTTTTTCTCAATTTGGAATTTGCTTTCAGTTTTTGTGTTCCCCCCTCCCCCAGTTTTTTTTAAACATTTCCTTCTGTTCCAACTGTTGCTTCTCCTGTACAGTTTTTTCAGACGCAGCTTAGCTGCTGGAGAATACACTTGTTTAGCTCACTGTTAAAATTGTGTTTCTTGTTCTCAGAAGGTAGCACTACTTACTTCTGGGTCCAAACATTGTGAAACAGGACAGTGTTGCTAACCTTCTTGTTGTTGCCATCTTATGTTCATTATTCACAGGATAAAAGGCACAGGCAAGCTGATCTTTCAAGTTTTATTTGTGCTGAAAGCAAATGTCAGTATTTGTAGCTGAGGAATAAGCATGTGAAAACTTGGCATATGTAACATTTTGAGTCTCAGTGCTCTTCATGTATCAAAAATGTTGTGAATCTAGGGGGTTCCAGATGAATAAATTTTTTAGAAATATATTGCATTGAGTATCTAGCTATTCAGAAATCTTATGTAGAATACAGAGTGTTTCTAAGAAAAGCATAACTCACTATATTATATTGAAGTGCATGATTGAGGAAAGCGAAGAAGAAATATTTTGCCACCTGTTGTCCTTTATTTAAATATATGGCACTGAATTAAAACACTCCCAGTTTCTATCTGGTGGGTAAGAATTTTTCAGAGTAACTAAGCTTTTATACTTTTGTTCAGATATTCAGATATAAGTATATACATAGCTTTTTCAAAACAAGACTAACATTTGTCTTGCTGGTTATTTTGCTTTTAGAACCCTCAGTTCTGTTATCTTTCCAAAACAGCAGAACTATCCTCATTCGAAGCTACAGTGCTTGCAGCCTTTGGCGTGCATTCCAGCATCATTCCTTGCACATCTATAGTAGTTGTGCAAGAGTTTTTATTTTTCTCCTTGTGTCCTCCAGAGAGCTGCATAAATTCAGCATCCATTCCACTGGTAGATTCAACTTGATACAGTCAGTGGCTTGCTTCCATAGTTTCTTTCTGTTGTCTAGTCAGGATGTTTAAATGAAATTATTCCCCCTCTTCTATTTTTTTCTACATCATTGACTTGCAGTGGCTATTTAATACTAGTACTAATTTTAATGTGCTTGGTTAATGTTTTTTGATCAACGTCTTCACTTTTTGTGAAACATATAGTCCTTTCTCCAGGATACTGGGAAGAATGAATCTGAACTCATAAGACCTCTTCAGAATACTCCGTTTGCATGTTTTCGCCTTTTTTCATGTTAGTGAAAATGTACTTTTTTAAATGCCCAGTGTAACCTGTGAAGCCTTATTAAGACTACTTAGTACTGGGAGAAGATTGTCATCTGCTATTTAAGAATAATAAAGCAAAAAATTAATATAAAAAGTCATTTGTAATTTCCAAGTAATTGGGGTGTTGAATTGGTAACTTAATAGATGGTTTTAAAAAGACTATGGAAACCCACTCCGATGCAGGAAATATTTTTACACCAACATAGTTGAACTCTTGGTTGGAAAGAAATAGACTTATAGTAGACTTTTAGGAAATGTTCTAAAGAATTTTAGAATGAATAAGATAATTTGACTACTTCTGTTTGGAAAAGAAAGTGCACTGTAGCCATTTCAAATCAGTCACAGTTCATATGCTACATATGAAGATACAAATGCTTTAAAGAAAGATAAAGATCTTAACTGAATGTGTATTCTGTCTTAGGACACTTACCCTATTTCATATGGGAATGTTATGGTTGACAGAAGAGCTGAACATAATTAACCATAAATGGCAAAAGGCATCCTAAATCTCCATAATGTGGCCCCAGCTCTCCTGTGGCAGTAAATGTGGTGCTAAGAATACACTTCTTTGCACCTCCTTGCCTTCTCTATTATAATTTTCTAAATGCCAGTATTGTTTGATGCAGGGTTCAAGTGTTGGTAAACAAGATTGTGACTTAAGTCCTGACTGTTGTAAAAATCTGAAGATGCAGTATGCATATAATATATTGGTTAAGTTATAAACAAATGTAAGCTTACTTGATCAATAAAGAAACATAGATCACTATTTTTCTACTGTCTAGTCTTCAATATTATTTTTGGTTGGCTTTCATAATCTAAAGACAGAAGAGTTGATAGATGTTCCTTCAGAATTAATACTCTGTTGTGTAAAAACTGAACAATATCCAAAATGCAAAGTGATTAATTTGTCTGCATTCTGTTTTAAATGTCCTACTGAGAATATTTTAAGTCAAGATTGTTAAAGTGGAAATTTAAAAGGTATGAATAATATCATGTTGAGGTAGTACTTCCCAATTGGTTTCATAGTGAGCATCTTGCTTTTAGAAACCTGAGTCTTCGTGAAATGTGTTAATCTTTCTGAAGTGTTCAAAGTACATAATTTCATATCACCGTTTATGACCTTGTTTTAGTATAACATGCACAATTTCAATATGAAAATTGACTACCATAGAAAATACTTTAATTGATACATAGGACAGATTTGATTTATACAGCACATATTTCTAAGATATGAACCATTAATTATAGAAGAAATGGAATGATTAAAGGTGAGTAGCCTTTCTTATGTTTCAAACTTTTAGCTAGTTATAAATTTGCTTCCTGGAGTATTTATGACTTCAAAATTATGCTGGGATGGCTTGGCGCAAGTTTGTATGCCAAAATTATTCTATTTATTTGGGATATTTTTTATGAAATAAAATAATCTTCATTGCAGAAATGTTATGAAATGTCCTAAGAATGTGATCTTAAACCTTTCAAAAGTTGTTTGTATATTAAATGTGTAAGATACTTTTCCTTAAGGTAACAAATACCAATCTGCTGGCAATAAATTGCTTCATTTGATCCAATAAATTGATGGATTCATTCTTTTTTCAACTTTAGGTTTAAACACACAAATGTTCACTAAATATCATATTGTAACATAAATCACAAATAATATGCTTAAACTATAAACAGCATTAAAACTTACCAGCAATTTAAAAAGTCTAATTTATAGAAAAGCTGGAAGTTACATAAATATACATACCTACCTATTCAAGAGTTGACACTTTCACTAGTATGTGTTTGAAAATCTGGTCAGCATCTACAGATACTTGCACATTTCCAAATGTACGTTTGCTTTCCCCGCCGCCAAACATACAAAATAGTTTGCATTCTGGCCTGATCAAATTCCTTGCTGGTAGCTCGTTTTTGAGGATGTTGGATGGTTTTTTGAGTCAGTGTCAACTGATGTACTTTAGCCATCTGAGCGGAACTGCACCATCCAGCAAGAGGAAAAGAAACCGTTTTAGTATTTTGGTGCTTTCCGATTAGAGATGAAAACCTTTTTGTTTTTCTCCAATTAGCATTGCTTTTGTTATCCCGTGAGTTAATCTAAGACTATTAACGCCCAGGATTGTTGAAAATTGGGGGCACTTAATTTATTATTGTTGGAGGAAAGCATTACTATATTACATAAACTGATTAGTACCCGTAATAATTTTTGGAGTGATTGCGTTTTAAGAAGACACAGACTTAAGGTTATTGTTTTACACTATGTTACCCGTTAGTCTGGCAAAGAAAACTTAAATCAGTGCAAACTGAATACATGGAAGAATCCACTTAAAATGGCAGTTTCCTTAATTTACAGTAAAGGCTGGTGAGAATTCAAACGCTTGGTTCGGCCTTTATTGCTCATTTGCATATTTTCAGTGTAAAACGAGAGTACCCAACTACCGTTCAGTATTTACTTTTATATATTGCTACACTTATTGCCCAATACGTATGCGAGGGGCAGGCCTGTAAGTTTCAGCCATCCCAGCATAAGCTGCATACGGGGACATTTTCCTGTCAATCATAAAGCTCCGCCCCTTTACTTTTCCGGAAAGGTCGTAGAGAAGTGGGGGGAGGAGAGAAACGGAAAGGGAAATCCCCTCCCCCAGCTTTTCCCTGCCCTTTTTCTTCTCCGTTCTCATCTCCGATTGGCTCTCTGAACGGTCTGTTAACGCCTACTGCCAGTGAGTGTATGCGCCGTGACGTCTGCCACTACCTAGGAAAGTCCAACCGCTTTGGACTGGGCAGGCTCCCAAGTGGGGGAGAAAAGGGGTAAAACAATTTCAAGATGGCGGCGGCTGAGGCGCGGATAACAATGGGAAACGGGAGGTGTGGGTGGCTCTGTGCCTGAGCTAGATTGGGGCAGGGGATTGGAATCACCCGGCCTGCATCGAGAAGGCGGGCTCGGTCGGGTCGGGCCGCGTTTGGGCGCCCCGGCCTGGAAAAGGTAGTGGTCACGGCAGAAGAGGGAGAATTGGGCTCCGAAGTGCCCGGTGTCCCTCGCCGCCAGCTATGGCGGAGTGAAGAGCCGGCTGCTCCGGTGCTCTCGATTTCGCTGGCGGCTCATGGTTCTGCCCCCTTGCCCCATGGCGGAGTTCGTGGTGTCGCAGCACAGCGCGGTGATGGAGCGGCTCCGCCGGCGCATCGAGCTTTGCCGGAGACATCACAGTGCCTGTGAGTCCCGCTACCAGGCCGTGTCCCCGGAGCGCCTGGAGCTGGAGCGCCAGCAGACCTTCGCCCTTCACCAGCGCTGCTTGCAGGCTAAGGCCAAGCGAGCGGGGAAGCACCGCCAGCCGCCCCTTCCTCCCCCCACGGCGCCACCTCCAACAGCTCCTCCGCATCCGCCTTCCTCTGCTCCGGGCCCCGGGCCCGGGGCCTCTGCGTCTACCTCCACTTCTTCCGACAGGCCTGGAGTCAATGGCCTGGACAGTGACACCGCGGGCGGTGAACAGCAACAGCACGGCCGTAGCAGCGCCCTCATTGCGGTAAGATCCAGATGTCGGGGCCTGGGTCAGGGCAAAGGGTTTGTTTTAGCTTCCAGACGCCCCACCTCCCTTAAAATAAATGGTGTATTTGTAGTCTGAAGTTAGGCGGATTCTTGTTTGTCCGCATATTAGCATACTTTAGAAAAGTTGTGAAACTTTTAAAATGGAAAGTGTGTACAACACTCCTGTGGGGTATGGTTTTTCTTCGTGTTAAATTTCAGAACTGCAGCAATAACATTTTTGTCCCGTCTTCCATTCTCTTAAACCTCTGTAGCGAAAAAGAATTTAATCCCTGTTTGTGCTTGTTTTGCTTACGCATATTATCTCTTCGCTTTGCTGCCCCAAACAATTTAAAATGGCCTTTGAGGGTTTTTTTTTTTTTAAAGAACTTGAAGAAAAATAAACGCATGGGTATTGTGGGATATCTTTTTATGGAATCATGTAACAGCAAATAATGCATAATGGCTTTTATTTCCTTTACTTAGATTCAAATCTTTCCTCAAGGATCCCAAAGTGATTCACCTGGGAGTTATTTTGGTTAATTTTACCACAATATGAGCAGTAGGTTTGTCTAAAAAGCGTATCTGCTCGATAGTCGCTCATTGACAAAATGATTTGAACCTCTTCTGGGTTTTTTTTGCACTAGAAAGGCTATAAAGTAGGATATATATTACTAACATCTTGAGAATATAAACAGAAAACAGAAATGAAATGTCTGCAGGATTTTCTGGGAAATTTAGTTTCCTTCTTATAGTGTTCTAAATAAATAATATTTTTATAATAGTTTGCAGGAGTAAATGTTAAGGCTGCTTATGCCTGTTCTTTAAACTAGAATTTAAAGATTTATTTGAATTCTTCTGCATTAGCATATACAGTATTAACTTTTTTCTGGGTTGCTAGAGGAGCAGTGCTATTTAATCCAGAACAATTAGGGAGGATTGGTTATCTACAGCTACTTTATTGTATAATATATATATACTTGTTTATATTACATTGTCATTTTGAACTATTTACCTTTGAGTTAAATATACTAGAAATTGAGCAAATTCTGTCAGGTGTTTTTTTTTAAATTATACAAAAATTATAAGATTGCCTTTTAGATACTTAGGTATTCTAGCTAAAATTGTTAATTCATGTGGCAGTGCTTTAGGATCCAAGCCTTCAGCATGTTTTCCAGATGAATATTTAAAGTTTAATACCCATAAATACTGGAGATAAAATATCCAGGCATTTTATTGATCAATGTCTTCTCTAAATTTAATCAAATTTATTTTGGAATTGGAGGACTCATGTAACGTCTGTACTATATTAACAGTACAAGTCAGCATAATTCAGAATACATTGAAAAAGTGGAAAACTGTTAATTTGTTAAAAATAGATTACAAGTAAAGTCCTATATTCTTCCTGTCAGAAGTGAAGGAAATATTCAGGAAAAGTGGAAATGAGCTGGAATGGCTGTCTGTGTTAAAGCATGTAAAGTTATCTTTATGTTAAAGTAGGGTACAAGAAGGGGAAAAAGTTTCCTCTGTCATTTTAAATTGTGATCTTTTCATATGGTAGAATCAGAGGTTGTCTGATCTATTACTTATTTCTTTGTATAAGGTGCCTGGAAAGAGGTCGGTCACAGTCCAAATGATTGGTCACATTAATTTTTATTTGACAGTAAAATTATATGGAGCTTCTGTGATCTTTTACTGGCTTGAAAGTTGTTCAGGTTTTTTTCAATGGTAGCTTTCTGAATTGTTTATATTTTATAGTTGCTTAAGAGGAAAACAAAACAAAATGTAGTAAAACATTTTATAAAGTTAATGTAAGATAATCAGTGTTAAATAGACTAGTCATATCTTCAGAGGAAAACAACTCTCTGTCTGGATTCCTTTAACTGAGATTCATGCATTGAGCAGATTGTTAAATTCAGTGGCCTCTTCCAACCCTATAATTCTATAATCCACACTGGAACAAGCAGGCCTATCTAGTTCAGCTATTCTGTGTCACACAATGACTTACTAATTCTATTCAGGATTTTCCCCCCTATACATTTATATAAATATAAATGTGTGTATGTGTGTGTGTATAAATATATTCATTTTAAATATTCCTGTCAGGATTTCCAGACTTGTCTGATATAAATACTCAACTTATTGGTACTACCTTGAATAACCCACACAAGAATATACAGTATTACAGCCTCTTGAATCTAGAGAGATGTTGAATTTTTCAGTTAGTGATATCTTGGGAAAAGTGAATAAAACCTGACTAGATTATATATTCTCTGTACATGATACTTGTTTTTAATGTAGCATTCAACAGTTTGAAAGTGCTATATCCTTTAAAATAAAGTTTAGGCTATGAGTAATATTACGTATCAGTGTTATTTCATTCATTTGCTATTGTGGTTAAGGTGCTGGCCTAGAAACCAGGAGACTGAGCTTTAAGCCTTCCTTAAGCATGAAAGCCAGCTGGGTGACTTTAAGCCAGTCATTCTCTCTCAGCTCCATCTACCTCACAAGAATGCTGTTGTGGAGAAAATAAGGGCAGGAGTATTAAATATGTTTGCTGCCTTGAGTTGATCAAGCTATATATATTTGAAAAATTGGGATAAAAGTGTAATAATAATAAATGTTTTATTATTAAAGTATTATTGAAAAATGATGTCCATAATTGGTAAATCTGACTTAAATTTAAAAGAAATTGGCCTCAAATAATAATATAAAGAAAATATCAGAATTCTCTTTCTGTTAACTTCTCAGAATGCTTAATACAGAAGATAAATTCAATATTTTATTATGTGCAGTACATATAGTCTCTTACATACGAAAGGGTTATATTCTGAGAGGTTTTTCATAAGTACATTTTGTTCTCACGTCAATAAGCATAAAAATTTCATAGTTCAGTTCAGTACTGAGTGGCAATTCAGTAGGCTTAGGAGGCAGGTCATGAGAAGGCAGGGAAGGGTTGGTTAATGGCACACAGCATACCTAAGCTATGTGCCAGAAACTGGCCCTTTCCCACCTTCTTTTCCCACCTTCTCCCACTTCCACCCAGGGCTCACTGGACCCATCAGGTTTGGCTTCAATGCTGCCATGCATGGAATGAGAACTGTGCTGCAACTCCAACCTAGAGGGTCTGGGAATCAGGAGAGGACAGGAAAGAATTGGTTTTTTGCACGCTGCATATGTATGCTGTGTGGTGGAAGCTAGCCCTTTCCTGCCTTCTCCAATCTCTGAATGTGGACAGATTAGTTTGAATTGGCAAAAATTCAAGTCTGTAGTCAGATTTCTGATAATTTTATATTAGAAAAGAAAATAATAAAATAAAGCTGGAAGGGACCTTGGAGATCTTCTAGTCCATTCCCCTGCTCATAGGAGACCTACCATTTCAGACAAATGGTTGTCCAATCTCTTCTTAAAAACCTCCAGTGATGGAGAGCACCCACGACTTCTAGAGGCAACTTGTGTTCCTCTGGTTAATTGGAGAAGGGTCCTATAGGCAGGCATCCTCTCCCCCTTTACCAAGCTGCCTTATCTTGACCGGCAGCAGCTCCCAGCCCCACAGACTCCCACCCACCCATCCTCAGCATGCAATGATGCAATACAATCTGGGGAGGCAGGTTTGAAGGTTTATTGACATGTCACTGTAAGCTGCCTCTGCCCGATAGGGGGGGCATAGTTTAATGAAAAAATTAAAAATCTATGCTGTGCATGATGGTTTATCTTCTCCCCTCCAGCAGCAATTCCCAGTAGCTGACCCCAGGTGACACTCGACGCTCTCCTAATTCAGGGTCTGCCTCAAGGAAGCCAGGAATTCCCAGAAGGATTCAGGCCGGCTCAGCCCTGGCAGGCAAGGGCACCATGACCCGGCTCCAAGGCCCTCTTCGCACCATTGCCAGAGACCCCAGCGAAACGGGGCAGGCTGAGGAGTCTTTTCGTTGCCCTCCCAGCGGAGTTTCGGGGCTGGGACTCTGCCATCAGAGCTCCTGCTTGCCCGCCTGACTCCGGCGTGCATCTGTGGGGGGACCCAATGCCAACCCCTCACCCCCAGGGCCGTTCCACCTCATGGGGAAGGGGAGAGAAACCCCAAAGCAGTCTGAGGGAGAGAGAGAGAGAGGCGCAGAACAAAGCAAGCTATGCTGATAGATATTCTAATGACAAAGTGCCACCCCAATTGAAATGTCAAACTCTAAACAACTTATCTTGAATCCAGAGTTGTCTTTTTACTGTCTAGAGAACTTTACTTACAGCTGAAACTTTGTTCCAACCACTGATAGATCATCTCCTCATTTAGCAATTGCAATGCATACTTTAAATCAGAAGCAAAATAGAAAATAAGCAAACGTGATAGAGAGAGAGACAGACAGAGAGAGATGATCACTGGTTGCTACCATCTCATTCATATAAAGTTCACTTGTGCAGTAGTGCCAGTGTTATTCTCATTTCAGTGTACTTTGTCAGGTGCACAAAATCTGGTCATTATTGTGTGAATTGACTAAAAGTACTTTTTATTATTATTACTATCATATTTGTGAATAGTCACTGAATGAGGCAGCCGCTAAACAAAGAATCATTCCAGATGATTCTTGAATTTTCCAGAGAAGATATTAGACAAGCACTTTTTCCCCACAATAAGTGAATTCTGTTTGTGGGAATTTAAAATCCAAAGTGTTCACATTTTTTTTTTATTTTAGAAAAGTTAGTACATTTTTGGCATGCTAACAATTATTGAAAATTCTGCATAAAGAACAATGAAAATGTTACTTTGTATTTAACATTTCAAAAATGAACTCTTGATATCCAACTTTTACCGTTTCTTAGTATAGGAACCATTGTTAGATTGCATTGTTAGGAAGAAAAATCTATTCTTAACTTGCTTTATATTAGAAATATCAGGAAAAGAGCACTGATGTACTATGCGAGTAAGTAGGCTGGTCAACAGGAGACACTGGTGAAGCGAGCACAGCAGCGCCTGCATTTCCTGCATCGCATGAGAAAAGCACATCTTCCTTCCCCTGTCCTTGCCACTTTCTGCAGAGGGACGATCCTGTCATACAGCATCACAGTCTGGTTTGGAAGCATCACTGCTTCAGACAGGAAGGCGTTGCAGAGAGTGGTGAGGATGGCTGAAAAGATTATTGGCAGTTCCCTCCTTTCCATCCAGGACATAGCACATAAGCGTTGCTTGAGCAGGGTCCACAAGATTGTCCAGGACACTACACATTCTCTTCATGACCTGTTTTCTTTGTTACCTTCTGGGAGGAGGCTCCGTGGTATCCAAAGCAGAACGTCCAGATTCAGTCACAGTTTTGTTTCATACAGTATTAACCTTGTGAACTCTAAAGCTTCCTCCTTCCATTATGTATTCAAGATGGATAGTGATTAATATTTATATGTTACTTATATGCAAGGGTGAAGGTCTATACATATGTTGTGTATAGTATGTTTTAAATGTGTCTTATGTATGTGTACACTTTGAGAGCAAGCAACTAAATTTCATTGTTAATGTGCCATTGTGTCCACAGGAAAAAATGACAAAGGTTATCTATCTCCTTTACCTACCTACCTACCTACCTACCTACCTATCTACCTATCTACGTAAAAATAAATTAAAATCTTTTTACTTTTCTCTTCCCATAGTGTAAGCAGTTGTGTTCAGATGGCATCAAGCATACCTGGGAGCCAGGTACAGGTAGTCCTCAACTTACAACTGTAATTGAGCTCAGAGTTATGGTTGTAAGTCGTGCCAGTCATTAAGTGAGTCACCATGTGACCACCCAATTTTATGAGCTTTTTTGGAGCGATCATTAGGGAAACACTGCAGTTGTTAAGTGAACATGATGGTTATTAAGCAAGTGGGCATTTTTTTCTGCAAACCAGAAGTAAACACAGGGTTCTGACAAAAAACATAAATTGCGGTCAGGTGATCCTGCAACACCGCAATCAGCTGTAAATGCAGACCAGTTGCCAAGCATCCAAATTCAGTTATGTGATAGCAGAGGGGAGAGCCACCATCGGAACTTCAAACCCGGGTCATAAGTAATTCTGGGGAGTCCTGTCTTAACTTTGGTTGCTAAGTAACTGGTTGTAAGTCAAGGACTACGTATATTGCAAAAATAATGGTAACATCACAGTAGCCAGATGTCTTCATTGGAAGATATTGTAATTAATTACATCTTGATACATTGCTACATTAATAACAATTATATCACTTACAAGCTATGTTATATCTGGGGCTTCCAATTCCACGTAGTATGCCTAGAATGTGTGTATATTGTAGAGATAAAATTATTTTTTTCCC